AATACTATTATTTTTATTAAACACAATTTGATTAGAAAGATTCATTGGGGAATCTTTGCCATATCTTGGAATATTTGTAAGAGATTATCTCTAAAATGATAGACTGTTTTATATAATCTCTAATTCTTTTTAAAAACTATCACTTGGATATGAATCAAATAGATTTTGATCACAATATTTAAAATATAAAAAATAGAAATAAATATATAAAAAAATTTTTTTAAATATATTAAAATAATATTATTATATAATATTAAAAAGAGATAGTAATTTAAAATTTTTTATTTTTTTATTTATTATAAAAAACAATAATATCAATTATTAAAATTATTTCAATATATAAATTAATTAAATATAGATTAATAAAACTTTAAAATAGGGACCTGTAGATCTATAGTATAGTGGTTAGTATTCCATAGGTCAGATCATAAGATACCAGTTCAATTCTATGTAAGAGTGGTTAAATAGAATTAATGTGATATCTGATATTATAACCAAATATGTGCTGTTTTTTATAAGAAGCCGTTTCATATACTGATCTGGTAGGCGTTGAGATTGTAATCTTCCTATTAAGGTACAGTAACGTGATAATCATCTGGATAGTGTTATAATGGTTATCTACTGAAAGAAGTAACGAACCATCCACTCATTTGGATATATAGATTGGGCTGTACCCCATCTTATTAAACCCACATAACACTTTTATTGGTGGTTGGAGCCCTAGCTTGAAAAATCCAGGTGATAAGGTGATAAAAGGCATTTGGATCAATTCCTCTAATCAAAACTCCTCTATGCCTTAACAAAATTGAACCAGTAGGTTAGATGGTTTAAAACTAGTGATAGGATTTTTATCCCTTAGATAGGTTCCTCCCAGAAATATGAACTTACTTAATGAGTATTTATTAGTATCGATAGGGTAATAGTATAGGATAGGTTAGTATTAAGCTGTAGTTAAAGCATTGTAAATGATGTTTGATTTACTATCTGAATATCAATATACTGTATATCAATAAAGATTGGCATCTAATATCCATTCTACCAAAAAAAAAAAAAAAAAAAACTTTAAAATAGGTTTATTATAATTTTTATATTAATAAAAATTTTTTTAAAAAATTTTTTTTTGTTTAATATTAAGTTATTTATTTTTTATATTAATAAAAATATTATTATCTAATATTATTTTTAATAAATAATATATAACAAAAAAACTCTTTATTTTATAAATAAATTCAAGACTTTTAATAATATTACTTAAATATCATTTTAATACTATTTTAATATTTAATTATACTATAAATTTATATGAGTAGATTATAATTCATATATTAAATTTACTATAAATTAATATTATTTCAATATTAGTTCAATACTGATTTGATACTTTTTGAAGCCTTAAATAAATCTATAAAAATTTTATTATAACATCAATCTTTCATCTGATATGAAAATATTATTAATTAAATTTAAATATTTAATATAAATTAAATAAATAAATTTATTTAAAAATTAAAAATAAAATTAATTGTATTAATTTATTTTTTATTGAAATAATTATATTAATTAAAATAATTGTATCAATTAAAATAATCATATCAACTAAAATAATTGTGTTACAATTGTATTATAATTGTATTAATTATATAAAAAATTATTGTTAATTCAATTATTAAAATTTTTAATTTTAATTGCATCTAACTTATTTCAATAATTACTACCACATATATACTTTTTATATTACAGTAATTAATAAGATTAATAAGATTTCTATATAAGTAAGTTATTAATATCAAAATTAAAATGAACTCTTAATTTTTCTCAATTTTATTTTATATGGCAATAAATATACTATTTGATTTAAACCTTAAATATGTTTAAAACTTTATATTGTTAATTTATATAGTAATATTACTTAGAAGATTTAATAATTAGAAATTTTTACAATTTCTAATAAACATTATTAATTAAAACTAAGAAGGTTATAAGACAACTTTTTATTTATAACCTGTCAAAATTAATATTATTTTTAAAAATTCACATAATATTTATTCTAATTTATAATATAATAATATTTCTAATAAATCTCAAGAATAATTTATGAAATTATAATACCTAAAAGATTTTGTAGCATAGATAAATATGATACCAGTAAAGTAATCATGTGACTTTGAGTCGCGTTGATTGTGACAAATCAATTACATATACAGTATAACGTGGTTAGCATAGTTATAGGCAAAAGCGCGAATGCATGTCTGGAGAAGAATCGTCAGACGAAACATTTCTACTATTACAGGTTCAGGAAATAGTAGAAAAATTCTTCAAAAAAAATACAGTCTGGTCGTTGCTTAGCTTTTTGAATTTTAGAGCAAAGACCAAGTATTTTACGCGTGATAAGAGAAGGGAGCATGGTTTGTACAAAAGAGCTTTAGAATTATTGTCAGTGAATAACGCTCAAGCTCGAGAATATCTTACCGGTTTTAAAGTTAAGTATATATTTGTTGCCACTGAGTGAGATGATTGAGTTCAAGGGCTAGAATACGTTTCGGTCCCGAGACATTTTACGTGACGTATTGACAAACCCCGAGTAGCTAGCTACTACGCACTGGCTGGTGAGAGTGGAGGTCGTTTCCCCTCGGGTGTTCTTGAATAGACATATGTACTGCCATAACGCAACCGGATGCCTACGTACCAACTGGTTGTTACACCAAGTTATGGTTCACTCATCTTAACCTTTGTTTTGTTGGTTATATGGGTTATATGGTAGTCTCAAAAATGTAACCAGATTTCACAATGTCTGTTTTCTTTTTAACAAAAAGAACGAGAAGTCTTCCGGGAGTGTCCTTGATTTCTGGGCAGAGATCGAAAAAAAGCAATATGAAGACAATATTGAAAAAGAATCGGTTTGTAGATTGCGTCTTGCTGTTGTTTATCTACATAGAAAACTTACTTGTTATGTAATATAGCTAGGGTTTATCAAAGGCGTAATATATGATTCCATCAAAGATTCGAAAGATGCAAGAACGTTTTTATCCGATAAATTGAAGTCATTTGTAAAGGAACATGCTGGGAAGCGAAATCATGTAATATTAAAAAGTTAGTTTTATATTAATGTTTTTATATGTAATAAATTTTACTTTTCTTCTCAATATCCAGGATCACATAGAAGATTCTCAAGGTCGTAAAGAGTCTTATGAATCCAATCCTGGTTTTCACACACCGGATCCCAAGAAGGTTGGTCATTAATGTTCATTTCACATTATTTTATACCTGATATTATGCCTTTATTAAATCATTTTTAATATGCAGGCCAAAACAGATTCTACGTTTAACGTGTCATTCGACGAATACACTATTGCCGTTAACGCCGTCAATTCTATTCAAAACGATAAAGAATCTGCCCACACAAAGTAAGATATGTTCTGCATATTATCTATCTATTCATTCTTGTGCGCTCATTTTCCTTGTTGTAGCCCACTCTGGTGGGGTGTTCTAGACTTCCGTGAGGAGAACGTGTCTCCGAGTCCAAGCCTTCCCCGTGCAAAGAATTTTCTCTCGGCTAATGAAATTGATCATTTGATGAATATGACACAAAATGCTATTCAAGAAGAGAATGAAAAGATAAGTAAATCAGCCGAATCATTTTTAGAAGCATTGCTATTATCGGAAATCGTTAGCCTCCAACTTCTCGCAAAGGAATGTGGTGCACGTGGAGTAGTC